ATGATTTAGTGTCACAACCTCTGGTATGCCCAAACATTTATACAACACACACACACACACACACACACACACACACACACACACACACACACACATATATATATATATATATATATCTCAACCCAAGTACCTGTAGTCTAAGCACAATAGTCAAGATGCTATGTAAAATAATATAAAGTTAATAACCTAAGACATTTTAATGCATTCTGGGCCATCCATTTATTTGTTTGTTTATACAATTTATTGGCTGCCCATCTTTGTCATAGGCTATTTCAGGAAAACTTACCCATACCCACTTGGGTCATTCTTTCAGAGATATGTCTTGACCAGATTCTTTAATGCTAGTGTATCTTCACTGCTGGTGCAGTTCCATGGTATAAATGGTTAAAATGAATCAGAGACCTAAGCCCATTCTATCCTCATTCAAAGGTAACAGATCTGGGCCTATAGAAAAGTAAAGGCATTGCCTCTCTGGAAAAAAATATGATGGCCAAGGTGAGATTTTAAAAAGCTCAAGTATCAACTATGCACACAGCAATGATTCAAATTAGTTTAGTACACAGTGACACGGGGAGGCAATGTGGCATGAAAGTCGCTTTCCAGGCTCACGCTGGACAAACCTAGCTCGTGTAAAGAGCTAATAATGGAAATTGATGAGAAAAGAGATTCTGCAAAATAAGGCGCTTTATCTACTTTGCCTGAATATTTAAATAAACTGCATACGGCTAATATTGGCCTTTTCAGTAATCTTCCAAATGTATGCCCAAGCAGATGCAACATCACTCTGTACATTAAGGATAAGCAAAAGAATGGAAAATTTACGGTATAAGTCAATCTGTTCTGAGTATCTTTCTTATTGCCTTTTATCCTTTGTGTCTTTCAGAGTTTTTTTTTAAAGATTTACAAGAAAAACAACCCTTCTTCCAATGGAGCTGGGAACTATATCCGCAAACAGCTGGTGGACACCTAGCCTTTCACCCCAAACAATGCCAGCAGCTAAATGTTCATGAGTTCTTTCCTCTTGAAATATCAGTCCATCACACAGAACATAATCTTCAATACACATATCAAATCACAGTGCAGCACCAAACAGAAAGGAGTATATATCGATTCGTTACTGCTGCCTCTTTTCAAACAGAGGGCAAATACATGAACAGTAACTCCAGATGTAACTCTTGTTAGCACTCGTTTCCTTTTTATGAAGGAAACTGTATATCGAGGGCCATAAATATTAAAAAAAAAAAAAACAGAAGAAAAGGCATAGAATGTTGTGTTGTGGCTGCTGCTATTGTTTGTTACACCGTATGTGTTGTATTTTCTGTGGGCAGCTTCCGAGTGACAAACTTCTGCAAACTCTGGCTGGTTCAGACCTGCACCAGGATCAGAAGGCTTTGAAATGTTCCAACTTGCTTTTTCTACAAAACGGCCTAATACTGATCCCTTATGAAGCCTCAATGCATTTTACACTATTATCCATAACGTACCAAAGGAACTCAAATATAAAAACATATGTTCCATGCCATTCCGTGTGATATTTTAAAAGAGCGAATTCCTATATGTGGCTTTATAAAAGAAGTGGTGCAACCTGAATCTGTGGGGGGAGACGAGCTGGAACTGGAGCCGACAGAGATCGAGAAGGCGGCTTCGTTATCTTTGGAGGAAAATGGGGAGGAACAGGCCCAGTCAGGCCAGGGCTTTTCAGGATCAGGACAGCTTGTAAACAGGGAGGAACAGGAACAGGATGACCAAGAGAGACTAAGCAGTGAACACGAGAGACAGAGCTCAGTCAATAAACATGGACCACCCCCTCCTGGTCGGCGAGCACGGAGAATGGAAAGAAGGCGAGAACTGCACAGACCTAGCTGGCTACTCAGGAGAATGCCACACCCCTCTTCACAAGGCTTACCTGGGACTGAGACTTAAGGAAGCACTGTAGGGAGGGGCATTTGTCTGGAACAAACGCCGAATTCCTGGAGTGTTGAGCTCCAACGTTTTCTGGATTATTTTCTCCCTTGCTTCCTGGACTCTTCAATTTGCCCTGCTGGATTTATTGCTGTGCAGCTATGATGTTCACAGCATTGGTCTCCACTATTTGCAGCCAGAGGCTGTGTGAGGGGTGTGTGTGCATGTGTGTTTGTCATCACTTTATTCTAGGACTTGCCAGAATGTGTTTGTCATCACTTTATTCTAGGACTTGCCAGAAACGTGGGAGTGTTTGGGGAAATTTGGAGCAAGAAAGGGGCGGTTTGAATTGCCAACTGCCTATCTTATTTTTGTGTCGTGCCCTGGGTCATTACAGATATCTTATATATATGAATTTTACTACATATTGTAAACCTATTAAACTTTAAAAAATGAATAATGTTGCAATGGAACACTACCTGAATAGCATGTGCTCGTGCTACAACAGCTCTCAGATACTGTAAAGGATCTTCTGGGCCTTCCCATTTGCTCTGCCATGTTAAAGGGCACTGAAAAAAAGAAAAAAAGAATCACCACTAGAAATCTTGCTGACTGTTCTAATTCACAAATCTTGTCTGCATTTCCACAGTGGATAGGAAAGCTTTTCACCTCTTTGATTAATAAGTAAACGTCATCCTTCCTCAATTAGATGTGGTTCAAGTTTATTTTAGTTACTCAAAAATTATGCATCTTGCACCCAGAGAATTGAAACATCTTACCTTTTGATTTAATAAAGCGCTGGCTAATTTTTGAACTTCTGAGCTTAAGAGTGAGGTTCCTCGAATTACTTTACTGAGAGCAGCAAGAGACTGATGAATACTTTGAACTAAGCGGATGGCATTAAATTGTTCTAAGATAATGAATGAAAGGATTGGAGAGCCTTGACGTTCAGAAGGAGGAGACACTTTCTGATGAATCAGATTGGAATTCTAAAAGACAAAAATCCACCAATGTTCAGTTAATAGGCTGAATGAAATCATCCTTGAAAATATACAGAAATAGATACTGATCCCAGAAAGTGGGGTAAGGTAATGGTAAAGGTTCCCTTCCCACACATGTGCTAGTCATTCCCAACTCTAGGGGGCGGTATTCATCTCTGTTTCAAACTGAAGAGCAAGTGCTGTCCGAAGAAGTCTCTGTGGTCATGTAGCTGGCATGACTAAACGCCAAAGGTACACAGAACACTGTTACTTTCCCACCAAGGTGGTCCCTATTTTTCAACTTGCATTTTTACATGCTTTCGAACTGCTAGGTTGGCAGAAGCTGGGACCAGTAATAGGAGCTCACTCCATTACACGGCGCTAGGGATTCAAACCACCAAACTGCCAACCTTTCTGATTGACAAGCTCAGCATCTTAGCCACATAATTGACATAATTCCTATCCTTCAAAGTATATATCTAAGTATCCTGGAAAAATATATTTCTCAGAATTGGAGATGTCTGCATTGCTGCAGAGATAATGAACAAACTAGGAAAGCAAGCACTGGATCTTGAAACAAGCAGAAAATGATAAAGCAAAAAGAGGCAGTTATATTATTATACTCTTCAAAATTAAAGATTTTGAATTATTCACTAAGACTTGGTAATCTGAATAAGAAGACATGCAACAGTTAACTCAGTTTCTTGTCAATTACTATGAAGAGACAACTTATCTATTATTTTTTTAAGACAGGAAAAAATTCTCCGGAAGCTCAATTTTCAGAAAGATTATTATTATTTTTCTTATTCTGGATGGTGCAGCATTCACTCAGCCTGACCTTAATATCATGTACTCAAGTGGTAGTGGTGACAAGGCATGCTTTTCTAGAACTTTGAATAAAATTAAAATCAGATTAGGCTATTAGAAAAGTCAATCTATTCAGTTGGCTTGGAAGGATGTTGGAAAGTATAAATGGTGCAGAATTTAATTGCCAAAAGTTTAGAGTAGAAATTGATGATTTAAACTATATAATAATCATATTTGTTAAACAACATTTGTTTCTCTGCCAAATTCAAAGTGCTGATTATGACTGTTAAAGCCATATCCTGTAATAAGTCTTTCTGAAAGCTTCTTTGCTTCCAAATACGTGGTGTGGGCGGTTAATGGCATTAGTTTTTTTTGACATATGTTACATTAGTGCTCTGCAAGCATCTTTGGCTTCCAGTGTGATTCTCAGTGCAATTCAAGATGCTGGTAGTAACTTTTAAAGCCCTTCATGGTTTGAGACCATGGCTACATATCGGTCTCTCCCCAAACTGTTTCTACCCATTATACTTGGTTTGGCATAATAGGCCTGCTCTGAGTGACACTGGCTAAAGAGTTTTGGCTCGCGGAGCCCAAGATGAACTTTTCTGTCATGATGCCCAATCTGTGGCACATCATTCCATTTTGAGGTAAAATGAGCTCGGGCCCTTCTGGCCTTTTGTTGTGTACTTTGTTGTGTATTATTTTGCTATTAATTTACTAAGTCACTTATGCTAATAATCTATGAAATTTCTTAACATATTAGTATTAATGCTTTTTTAAAAGTTTATGTTGATTTTTGTTTGTTTGTTCAATTTATATGGTCATCCATTCAAGCAGATGGATGCTTGAATGGGTGGCTAATAATTAAAAAAAAGAGTGAAAACCCAACAACTGTCAATATAAATCCAGCACAAATATTTCAATAGAACTAATGCACAGATTCTAAAATTGGTTAACTGATTTATTAATTTTAAGTTACCAGATTAGATCTTGAAGTAGAGGTGGTATTCAGCAGGCTCTGACCAGTTCTGGAGAACTGGTAGCGAAACGTTTGACCAGTTCGCAGAACCGGTAAATACCACCTCTGACTGGCCCTGCCCCATCTATTCTCTGCCACCCGAGTCCGAACTGATTGGAAGGGAATGGGGATTTTGCAATAACCTTACCCTGTCACGCCCACCAAGCCACACCCATCAAGTCATGCCTTGCCCACCAAGCCATGCCCGCAGAACCGGTAGTAAAAATAATTGAATCCCACCACTGGCTCGAAGGCATTCTGACTGAAATTAATGGAAGTTACCGGTAAATTGTGTCACAAGTAAATTTTCAGTTTAATATGAATTAGACCTCAGATCCATTAATTCTGGATCCAATACAATATATGGATTATTGTATTGCTTCTAAAACTTAATGCGGTGTTTCCTATTTGAAGATAATTCTGGCTGAAAAGCTATAATCAGCCCAATGCATTCATTTTCAAAAGTGCTTAGTATGGGAGTGGGATTCTAGTGATGCAGGAAGAGGAAATAATTGTTTTAAAGGCCCAGACTTAATACTTACTACACAATAGATATAAATATAAAGGACTGAAAATGTTTATATCCTAACAGCAACCCTTTCTTTCTTTTCCTGCCCAGGCAAAATGGCAATCTATTCATAATGTGTTATGCCTCTTGTATCATGTATTCACCGAAAATTTGACATTCACAAATATGACCAAACTGCCATTTTTAATTTCTCAGATGTGACTGATTGTAAGTTGAGCACTACTTGTATAATTTCTTTCTCTTTTCATACATCTCATATTTTCAATCTCTTTGGCTTACCATAAACTTAATCCTTTACTATATTTTGCATAACGTTGTATATACTGAGAGGAATAACCTGTTGCTTATAAAATCTCAATATGTATGAAAATATGGTTATTAACATCAAATGAGTTTTTTCTATCCTGCTGATCTTACCTGATTAAGCTTTTTCCATAGATTGAGGACTGGAGAAAGCTCATTTGACCAGATTTCTCTGTCAAATTTGCAACCGGCAGTTACAGACCTACTCAAGATCCGAAGTTGTGAAATTACCTGTAAGAGAAAAAACAAACAAATGAGAATATGGAGACAATTCTCAATAAAATTACAGGAGATATTCCTTCCTACTCTATATATTTTGATAAATATCTTCGGAAGGGTGTAAACCAGATCATAACTGCAAATAAAGATTTAACCATAAATTCTGAGAAATGTCTCATCAAAATGAGCAATTATTCTTAGCAAGAATATTTAGCATAGTGTTTTCATTAATTGACTATTTGTATTAATAATTACATTACCAGAGATAGTTAAGGCTGATTACAAAGGATTAACGTGACACTTTTGTTTGAGATCATAAGAAAGAAATGTTGATCACAAGAATTCATTTGAGATAAAGCTGGTTATCTTGAATTAGAATTATGTGACAATTTGTAAAAGGTTTGAAATCAAATCTGTTTGAATAATTATTTGAAAACTTGCATAGTGCTGTGTCTTATATTTGTTCTTGTAGCTATGTAAACATTTAGACATTGTAAATTATGGAGTTATTATAAACAAATACTAATTAAGAAAAGACTATGGAATTTTTAATTGCATGTTTTGAAAATATATTTTGCACGATAGTTTTAAACATGCTGATCTAGGACATAAAGTCATATTGAGAAAACTTTGAATTTATCTCTAATGAAAACATAGTTTAAAATATTCAAATATAGAACAATCATGTATATAGACATCAGTACAACACATTTAAATCTTCAATGTGGCCATCTGGCCACACTCTGTAGAACACACTTGCCCATTTGCCTGTTTGTCAGCCTCCTGGCCTTTCAAACAAGGAAAGTCAATTGGAAAATTAGGAGAAAGTTGCAAGTTGCAATCAGTTGAGGTCCTCACATAATGATCTGCAATCCTTGCTTAACAACAGCAACAGAAACTGCTAGGATTGCTATCACTAAGCAATACAGTTATATGACATTGCCTTTATAAGCACATCACTTAATGGTGGAAATTCAGCTTCAAATTACTGTCAGTAAGCAAGAAGTATCTCCAAAGACAAGCCATTTATATCCGTATCCATATCCATATCCTTTTTATGTTTATTTGAGGATCTAAAAGTCAGCTTTTAAGAGTTCTCTAAAGGAATATTATAATATAATCCTAGTATAGGTTACAATGCAGTAGAAAATGCAGGGAAGTATTTTATTATAAATATTTGAGTTTCTATATGTAGCTATATCTGAGATTTACATTACAATTTACCATTGTTGAAATGCTTAAACATCTCTTTTGTCTTCTTCTTCTTCTTCTTTTAATGGTAGTGTCCCTTAAGTAATTGAGTCAGTTCACTTGAGTCAGGTTTCACTTTTGGCGACATTATGGCTATCCAGTTTTTTTGCTTGGAAATAACATGAACAAATCAGCTAGGGGCTATCAACCTGCCAGGAAGTATCTTTCAAAATCATTATTTGTGCTTTTAACAATGGATTGATCATGCCTCATGACTTCAGTGAAATCTATTCGAAGCACAATTAAATGTGGATTCAGTGTATTAGTTAAAGAGTACCATAAAGACAGCTCACACATGAAAATCCATTTTGCTTGGTCTCATTGACATTTTGTTATCTGTATCTGTGTTATCTATATTGATATCCATATCTAACTACTGTCTATCTATATCTATTTATTGTACTATGAGAAATATCTCATTTCATGAGGCTGCACTATTCAGTTGTTCAGTATTCTGAATTGTTTTAAAGTTCACTTGCTTCTTAAAAAATGTGCAGTGATGCAATGTTTCATTTTGTTTGATAAATTGGATACTTTTTAGTTTATCAAAACAAATTAAAACAATTTATTACACTTGGTGGAACATGAAGCTTCACTGGTTTGTAATCTGTGTTATTTTAAGTTGTATAATTGTTGTTATTAACTTATTTGCTACATACTGAAAAATTAGTGCTTTAAAAATAAGTTTCAATTTAAGAAGAAAATAGAGAAAACTTTTAATACTTTTTTTTTACAAACTAGACACATATTGTTAAATGTTAATGAAAATGAATCACCTTGTATATGAAAATGTTTTTCTTCTTAACAGAAATTGAAATGGAAATTGATATGTTTGCTGAACAATAACTAAATTATAGTTATAATAGTATAAATTAGATACTCCAAATTAGATACTTCTTTCTTTTCTAGTATAACCAGGGCTAAAAAAAACTCTTGTCAAATCAGTTTATACTTAAATTAGCCAAACTATCTACGTAATTTGAATTACCTTGCATTCTCCTTATAATCATTATTCTCCATGCTAAAATCTCACATAGAAAACAGTGAAAAAAAATTGTGTAAGAAATGGAATCAGGATTTAGGCTCAGCATATGCTCAGGCAATAAAATGTTTGTAAGGAAACAGATCTTTCTGGGCAATTTGGACAGTGGTAGAAGTAAAACAAATTAAGGAAGCAACTGAAAGATCCTGGAGTTAAGCACCATTCAAATGAAAAAGCATGGTATGTAAGAAGTCCTCAACTTATGACTGCTAGCTTAGTGACCATTCAGAATTATGATGGATCCAAAAAGATATTTACAGCCCAAATTTGAAGTTCTTTTAATCAGCCTTCCCCTCCCAGTCACATGATCACATTTTGTATACTTGGCAACTGGTCCACATTTATGTGATCATGATTCATGTTTCAATTTATGGCAAAAAAGCAACCATTGGTAACAATGGCTTAACTTAAGGACAGTGGTGCTCATTTAATGACTGCAGATTCACTTAACAACCATGGTGATTCGCTTAATGACTGCAAACAAAATATATAAAATTGGCTCGATCATGTGATGAGTTAACTTAAAAAACGGGCACAACTTACAACTATAATTCCAGGCTCAATTATGGTCCTAAATCAAGGACTACCGGAAGTGGTTAAAGAATTGCAATGGGATTGGTAAGTTCACCTTAGCAACAGAAGATCACCAAAAAGTTTTTAGTAATCTTTGTCTCAGTCTAAAGACCTATTTTCCATCTTTTAGAGTGTTACCCTTGGTGGTTCTAAGAGACATGCCTTCTCTGCTGTGTCATCACAGTTCTCCCCCCTTCAAGGAATGTTCTCCCCCCTCCCTCAGAAGTGGGTCTCACTCCATCCCCTTCAACATTCTGCAAATTTCTCAAGATCTAGCTATGCTGTCAGGCCTGGAGATTCCAGGGGATCCTATTATGGCTCCTTTACTATAGCCAACATTATCTTCTTTGTTCAGGTATATTATGTAGCTTTTAATTATGACAGTTGTGTATGTTTATTGGTTTTCTTTTTAATTCACTATTATATAGTGACAAGAGTCATGTTTCTGTGAAATGGGCAGCCATATGAATATGATAAATAAATAGATTACTGATAGTTAGATGGCTAGCTAGACAGACACACAGACAGAAAATGAGAACTCTGGACTCTGGACTCCCTCACGTGTGTCCCCAGATACCTCTCCAGATGTCAGGTTGGAGAAGGATGAACCAATTCTGGGCACGTCTGGAGTGGAGTTGGTCAATGGCTCTAAGCAGCCATCTGAGAGGAATTTGGCTGAAGCGCAGCTTCAGGACAGCCTTGAGGTTTCAGGTGGGAAAACCACGCAGCTGCAGCTGGTTAATGATGAGGAGGAAATGCCTTCTGTAACTGGTCCGAGAACACATAGGGCACAGAAAAGGCAGGAGCAGTGATGGTCATCCCAATTACTCATGAGAAGGCAGCCATGCCTCTCTTGATTGGCTGCACCAGAAGTTGGCTATTTAGCACAGCAGACAGATGGAGGTGATATTGGGATCAATGTGTTCATTTCCTAGCTGTATGTTTCCTGGTCGTTGTGATCCCTGCCTTGCTTTGGATTGACACTGTGCATTGACTTTGGATTGGGCCTTGGGATCTCTGGATGTTTCTTGCCTCATGAACCTTGTTATGTTTTGGATTTAATTTTTCCTGGTGGATTTGTCTTGTTTGGGAAACTTTGAAGTCCCTTGTGGACTTATTGATCATTACTCTGTGGTTTAGCATAGGTCTACTTTTGGCTGGACTTAATTGGGACAGTTCTGGGTTTTTGGTAAAGGAAATTGCTGTGAAATATTAATAAACCTACTAAGCCACCGTTACATGTGTGTGCGAGTGAGTTGGACAGCATCTTAAACTCTGAAAGAGGAAAGGTAGGACACAATTGTAACAAATAAAATATATGCTAGATAGGAATCATTACAAATTTGTAGGCAGCTTATTGGGCATATATATCATCCACGCATTAAAAAAAGGTATTGAATCTATTCTATTTGGAATTGGATCCATTGTCATCTCTTTTCTAAGAACAGTGAATATTAACAGACCATCGGTTATTTTAGTAACCTTCTAGAATATGCATTCTAATTTTCCATGTCTCTGAACTATAATTTATGATAGTTATTTGGAAGCTGAGGGTTTTACTAAATATCAGAATTTAAACGTGTAGGCTTTTTATTGTGTCAAAAGACTGTATCAGCACATTTTTTCAAGGGAATTAGGTCTTAAAAGCTTGAATACAAATCACGGGAGACATGCTAGCTCATGCAATTTTTAACTTAAGCAAACTAAGAGTGAATCTTTCCATCACAGTAAAGGAAAAACTACATTCATGCTGTCAGCTTTGAATTTTATCAAATTTCCAAATAAAATGTCTCTTGTTTCTTTGAAGAGGAGATGCGTGGCAAGTTATAAAAATATGGTCATTCTACATAAAATTATGTCATTATAAAGAAGATTCTGTCCTCCACTTCCAAGAAACTAGCAAGCAACAGAAGATATATTGGGCATAAACAGCCCAACTGAATATGTACATTTCTACTGCTCCAGTTACTTTTGTGAGAAAGAGAAAGTAGAATAGAATAGAACAGAACAGAACTGAATTCTTTATTGGCCAACTGTGATTGGACAAACAAGGAATTTGTCTTTGGTGCATATGCTCTCAGTGTACATAAAAAGACATTAAAAGATACATTTGTCATGAATCATAAGATACAGTACCTAATGATAG